CAATGTGACTTATATTTATTGTTGGAACTTGAAATTTATAAATATGAAGTTTGTTACTTGGTTGGAGGGGAGCTTTTGAATGCAAAATATGTTGGAGTTTAAATTTTTGGATGTGTTTGATGTTTTATCGTTGGAGTTTGAAACACATGAATGTGACTTATGTTTATTGTCGACGCTTGAAACTTATGAATATGAAGTTTGTTTTATAGTTGTTAGAATGTTGTTTTCTTTGTTGTTGGAGCTTGAATATAATGTTTTCATGAATGTGTTTATGTAGTTTATTATATTACATATTATCATTTTGATTTCGGATATGTATATCTTTAAGGTAAAAAACATTGATCACATGAAATTATTAAGCCTAATAATCGTGTTGTGTTATGCTCGAAGATTCGGTAAACTTGTCACTATTATATTGTATTAGATCAATATGTAAAAGACTTATATTTAGACACATGACATATGTTAGTCTTTTCAAATTTAGATATATTATGTATTTTACACTATGTTTAATTTTAAAATTTAATATGATTTATCATTTCTATTATCACTTATTGTATCGTTTAGAATTGCAGGAAACATAGCCATACTCATATATAGTAGCCGGAAGTCTAAAAATGGAATTTCACATTTTTTAGAAAATGTGCCGGTCGATTCAGCTCACGGTGGGCCTGAATAAAGGAACCAGGCTCGAAGCTGCAGGGAAACAAATCATTTTTGTAGACAAATCAAATGTGCATATTGTATATTCTATAAGAGAAACAAATCTCAAATAAGAGATGAAATAATTAAGTTTCGAGAAATAAACCAAATACTCAATACTACTATGGTTTTCTCTTTTTTTAATGTTGGACAAATCACAAGACTAAAAAAAATAAAATAGGRAATTCGAAAGTAGTTAAATCTAGAGAGAACACCAATCAATAGTCATATTCAAATAAATGCAAAAAATTAATTTTATTTCAAATCTCGAGAAAGCACTCAAAATATAATCACACAGTACACCGTTTTAAAAATTCAAGTTAATTAATAAAAAAAATACAAAAATAAGTAAGGGATCCAAAACTACTTAAATATCAATGAAAACAACCATTAAAATAGTCGATTAGGATAAATACGAGTATTAAATATAATTTTATATTTGACCTATTCATCGACTAAAATAAGTTTACAAATTCGTAAATTTTCGTTTTCACATAGTTGAATGTTTATTTAACGAATAATGAAAACTTTGAATTTCCCTTCTTTTTGGAAACTTTGATTCTCTATATGAAATAAAAAATCTTTGTAGATATTTAGAAATTGAAAAAAAAAAGCCAACCCCAATTTTATGTATCATGAATAACTTAGTTTCGTTTTCTTTTACAAATAGTTTGTAATCACATCTATACGAGAATGGATGCATCACTTCGTCAAATAGTCATAATGCCTCATCAATTTATTTCTCTTAAGAAAATAATCRGTCTCTTGATTTGAATACAAATAGTCATCGATCTTGATCACACCCACTTTACCACTCGACGGTGACACCTAATGGAAATATGAAAGGGTTATTTTGGTGTAATAAAATCAATTAGGTATGTATATGGGGTGTTTGATAAAGTCGAAGAGGTGTTTAGGAGATGATTAATTTAAAGTGTATTGATGTTGAAAGACGAAGCATCTTAGCTCAAACGATTCTGTGTTCCGTTCATTCGGAAAATGACAAAATTCCGGCGTCCCCACGTTTCCATACAATACTCTGCAGTCCTTTTTTCCTCATTTAATATTTTGTCACTCTCAGTATTACTATTACAAACACAAACTACTCTCTCTCTCTCTCTCTCTTTTTTTTTTTTAATATCTGCGACCGCAATAAATAGCATTTTCCCTTTTCTTTATCAGGAAAAAAAAAACATTTTCCCTTTCCCCCAGGACGCTCACTGCACCACGTGAACAATATTTTAAAATTACAACTTGCAACCGCATTCGCTTATAAAAGTTTTTTTTTTCTTTTATAAATAATATATTTTGATTTTTTCTTTTATAAATATTATATTTTGAAAAAAATAARCACAAAATATAGGTAGTTTTGAAATTAATTTAAAGAAGGGGTAGATAAATCGCGTATATTAGACATGATTTCAGCGTAAATGTCGATTTGAAGAACAGGCAGCCAGCTAATTTAGGCTCACGTATCTTGATTTTTCTAAATAATATATTTAAAGTGAGTAATATATACATGGGACAAAATCAATTTACCTACTTTTTTTTTTATTTTTATCCAGCCTATTGCAAAAATAATATTCGCGTTTTGTGAATTTATAGAGAAGTCAAATTCGTAAAAATAATATTTGCGCTTTGTGAATTTATAGAGAAGTCAAATTCGACATTAAAAGAAAAAAGTTGAAATTCAAAATTGAAAATTATCGAGAGGACTACCCATATCAAAAAGTTGATTTAGATTTGATTTCAAACCTTCCAAAACCCCGTACCAATTGATTTGAAGATCATAGGATTGAAGAAAAATTATACCACACCATGAATGAAGTTTAGAGGGAGTGATCATAGTTTTTGGCTTTTCAGTGTTAATGAAATTACTCGTAGGGAAAGATAAGGAAGTACGTCTAGAAGATGAGATAAGATTCAAATTAAAAGTTATGGAAGATAAAAATGTTCTCCATTTGTTTTCATCCCTACTTTGGAGGAGAGAAAGGATAGGAGGTTGGTTGAATATATATATATAATATATATATATATATATTATTTTGATTTATGGAGATTTGTTCCATATTAATCTTATCATGGAAGGATTGCTACTATTTTATTTTTATCAATAGTTTGTATACATATTTTGATTTTATTATATATATTTTAAAATAAAAGCTACTCTATTTTTTATCACGGAAGAAGTTGGTCATTACCAAGTATTTCTCTTTTCTATTTTTTTGGGCTTATTTATAAATAAGAAAAAATTGGAGCTTATTTTAATTACGGCAACCAATTAATTAACATCACACCCTGACAGTCTGACACGCAATTTTCCATTTATTTATTAATTTCTGATTTCACTGTGACTACAAGCAGAATATTTAAGTAGAACCAAAGATTCAAACGATGCATAGCAAAATATTGGCAGCCATGGGAGCAATCTTTTTATACTTCCCACTGTTCTTAGTGTTGTATATATTAACGGAGCACTTCCTCCACAAGATCAGAAACCTGCCGCCGACCCCTTTCCCCTCGCTCCCACTCATCGGCCATCTCTACCTCTTGAACAAACCCATCTACCGGACTCTCGCCGACATCTCGAACCGGCACGGTCCGGTTGTGTTTCTCCGGTTCGGCTCCCGGCCGGTTCTCGTGGTGTCGTCCCCTTCCGTAGCCGAAGAATGCCTGACCAAGAACGACGTCGTGTTCGCCAACCGCCCCCGTCTCCTCATATCCAAGTGCTTCGGGTACAACAACACGAATCTCGTGTGGTCCTCGTATGGGGACCACTGGCGCAGCCTCCGCCGAATCTCCACCGTTGAAGTCCTGTCTACCCACCGGCTCCAGATTCTCTCCACCGTCCGTCTGGAGGAGGTGAGGTCCTTGATTCGGAAGCTCGCAAAAAGTGAAAACCAGGACAAAATTCTCACCATGAGGCATTCGTTTTTCGATCTGACTTTCAACGTGATGCTGAGGATGATCGCCGGAAAGCGATTCTACGGCGATGACGTGGACGACGCCGACGAGGATGCGAAGATATTCAGGGAGTTGCAGGCGGAATCGACTCGATTGACCGGCATATCAAACATTGGAGATTTTGTGCCGATGATGACGTGGCTGGGATTTGGATGGAGCGTGGAGAAGAAGATGATGGATTGCCACTACAAGAGAGACGCGTTTATGCAGACTTTGATCGAGGAGCAACGGAAAAGATCAACGGCTGAAACTGAAAGTGAAATTGATGATTCGTTTCGCGATGGAAGGAGGAAGACGATGATTGAAGTGCTGCTGGAACTGCAAGAATCGGAACCTGACCACTACACCGACGAATCGATTAAAGCCTTGATGCTTGTAATTCTCTCTCTCTCTCACTCTCATTTACTTCATGTTCATTCTCGCATTATAGGTTTAACTTACCAAGTTGTTTCACAAACTTTCAACTGCTCTCTCAATTTAATTTCTATATTTTAACAATATTTGTTTTGGTATTTATTTTTATGATTTTAAAACTTCAATTCAGTCCAATTTGGTCTCTCCGAGTTAGGTTTAGTTTCAAATTTCACTCCATGATTTCTTTGAAGTCTCATAAGTCTTTCATAATTTCTTTCATTCTTTCTTTTTTTTTTTTTTTATTACAAAGTCTTTCATAAGATTGTTTTCTATTGATCACGTGAAAAAATCCTTTTTGTTTTTTGCTTGTTACTATTTACTTAGTCAATCCTAATACAATAATTGAGTAGACAAATATAAAAAAAAAAAAATTGCTCATTACTGCATAAACACATGTTTTCAATTTGATATAAGCAAATATGATTGGTGTTGAAGTTTGACTCAACTATGAATGCTAAAACTAAAGGACCAAATTTGTAATTTAGTTAAAAGTTTTGATGTATTCCTGGGCTTTGAGGCACCTTGTATTTTAAACCATTTTTTTAAAATAAGTTTTTATTATTAAACTTATCATCTTTTTTAGTACAAAAAATTTAAGGAGGGTGTGGACAGAACTTTATTGAGCTATACTTATTAAATTAGTTATAATTAACACTTACTTTATGTACTGATATAGATTTAGATTATTTAAGAATTATSTTKKWARKTKRWTTTTTWWWARKTTWAMYTTTTTTTTTTGGTGTAAGGGTAAATATCTAGAGATAAAAACATTAATATATACCAATTTCATATTTCTTTTAAATAATAGAGATTAAATACAGACCATCCAAAAAATATAGAGAACTATAGAAAACTTTTTTAACTACATATATAAATAGACACTTTTGAAAGTTTATAATGAAACTTAAAATTTAACCGATATAAAAACAAATATAAATTACAAAAAATCAAATAATACGATATTGTGAAGATGTGATCGGTTATATCATATTAATCTTGTCTCGTAGTGGTGGCTTTGGGTTTAAATTATTATATAAGGACCTTCTGGATCGCTTACATTTGTTAATTTTAATTATTGAATTTTTAAAATATAATATTTAGTTGAGTAAACCACCACTCAACACAAAAGTTTAAGCTAATAGGTTGGTAAATTTAACTCATTTATAAGTATCTCTAACACTATTTATTTTTATCTTATTTATTTCTACCATAATTTTAGTATAATAACACTTCACTTAATAAAATTAATTAAAATGTATCAACCACAAATTTGTATTCAAAAGTTTTTATTGTATATAAAATTTACAAATATGTGACAAAATGAGTACTTATAAGTACAAAAACCAGAAGTAATAATACCATGAATACTTATCAATACAAAAATCAAAAATAAAATTTTAAAAGTAAAAAGACTAAAATTAATAAACATTAAATACGAATCATTTCTGAAACAAAGTCAAAATAGATGAGCAAAATATAATTTGCACCTATTATTTTTATACATAATTATTGATTAGCTGTTGTCTTTCAGAAAGAAGACGGACTCATAAAATATATTTTAGGCAATTGAAGTAATTTAGTGGCATACGAGCAACAAACAGTCTTTCGGATTTTCGTAATAAACAATTTGTATTTTGAATAAATAAATATTATAATATTCCTACATTTTTCAATGAATTAATAATGCGGTTGGAAAAAACATTTTTTTTTGCTCCATATTTAATTGTTTGATTAGAATATGGTCCATTATTTTATTAAAAATATAAACTCACAATCCTTTAGATTTGGCCCCAAATCGACTTAATAATTACTCATCCTTTCAAATGTGAAAGCACCATTTTTTAATTTAAAACTCTCCTATGAAAACCTTTTAGAGGTATAGAAGTTCTTCAGGAGAAAACTTTTTAATTTTAAAACTTTAAATTAAATGATAGACTGAAATATATTTACTGTAAATATATCAAAGTATATTTCAAGTATAAAATAAGAAAAACCTTGTTAGACTGTATTACTTTGTCAAATATCTTTTATTATCCTATAGTTAAATAAAAGAACTATTTAAGTATAAATAAAAATAATTATAGATTTTACATTGATAAAAAAAAAAAAGTTAAAAAATTGAATTCTATAGTCAGATGTTATTGATAAGAAAAAAAAATACACACATATTTAACATTTTATTCTGCATATGGATAGGTTCTATTAACGGCAGGTACGGAGACCTCTGTGAACACCATGGAGTGGGCCCTATCTCTTCTACTGAACCATCCAGAAGTTTTAAAGAAGGCGCAGGTCGAAATTGATRATCAAGTTGGCCAGGACCGTCTGATTGACGAATCAGACATGGCCCACCTTCCTTACTTACGTGGCATAATCARCGAGACCTTCAGAATGTACCCTCCGGCTCCACTAATGGTACCTCACCAATCATCAGAAGACTGCAGTGTCGGAGGGCACCACATCCCACGTGGGACTATGCTATACGTCAATCTATGGGCCATCCACAACGACCCCAAGATTTGGGCCAACCCGACAAAGTTTGATCCCGACAGGTTTGACAGGCTGGAAAGTGACAAGTACGGGTACGGGTTCAATCTGATGCCGTTCGGGTCGGGTAGAAGGGGGTGTCCAGGAGAGGGACTGGGCCTGCGGATCATTGGGCTGGTGTTGGGCTCACTGATCCAGTGCTTTGAATGGGAGCGTCCTGGTGAGAAGTTGGTTGACATGACAGAAGGCATTGCAGTCTCTATGCCCAAGGCCCAACCATTGCAGGCTAAATGCAGGCCTCGGCCCATAATTGCTAACCTTCCATCTCAAACCAAAACCAACCAGGCCCATTGATGTATGGCCCAGGGTTTAGCTTTTTAACGCAATAATAATAATAATACAATGGCGTTTATTTCCAGCATTGTTTTTTTAGTTTTCCATTTTCCTTCTTTCGACAAATCGACCCACCGTCCTTGCAAGCGTTCTCGCAAAAAGGCAGTACGTTGCAAGATAAATGAAAATTCAAGTTATGTAAAATTGGACTATTATTTATAATTAAAATTGGAGAAAATTGGAAATTACAATTTCCTGTAATCTACCAAAATATCTAAAAGGGAATGAAAATTGTGTTTTCGTTGTCAAATCAAATGGCTAGAGGGAGGACGTTGAATTTGGAACTTGCCGTCGGTTACCGTTGACTGTGTCTGCAGATTATGCCGTGCCTCATCGGTGTATAGTCCCATTTTGTCGTTAACGTGGCTTTATCTCATCAGCCAATTGGTTCGCGCCTTCTTGAAGTCATCCGTCATTATTAATATTAGTATTGTTTTTTTAATCTTCTTGAAAATAAAGAAAATTGCGAAGACTTGCTTTCAGTATCAGTAATTTAGGAGCGGGGAGGGCATTTTACCGGGTCCACCCTGCGTCAATCTCCGCCCTCTCTCTTCCGTCTGCTCAGTCGCGTGCGGCCACCGGCGCACCATGTCTCCGTCTGGCGCCAATTCACCTTCTGCTATTGTCATCTATTGCCTAGTCGGTTTCAATCTGTTGCGCACGGTTTTCTCCTCATCTGTGGACTCGAGAGATTTCGATTATCAGCAGCGCCCCGTGATTCTTCCTCTCTACATCTCGACTACGAATTCCACTCATCACCGCGTCTTGAACCGTGATCATCGTTTCCGGCACCTGCAGRAATTGGACCAGCCCCACTCCTCAACTGCTCGAATGAGGCTGCACGATGACCTCCTTACCAACGGGTTCGTCTTTCAGAGTTTTTCGGCTTTTGGTTCTGTTATTAGATCGTTTACATGTTTATCAACAATTTGAGGGTTCTGGGACGTCGATATTTATAGGTATTACACGACGCGTCTATGGATTGGGACTCCTCCGCAAGAATTCGCTCTTATTGTGGACACCGGAAGTACAGTGACCTACGTTCCATGCTCTAACTGCGAAGAGTGCGGGAACCATCAGGTTTCTTTCGGTTGATTGCTGATCTGCGTTGTTTTTCAGTTCTGCTGTCTATAGCTAAATATCTGCAACTCGTTTTCTGGGTTCGAATTTGGGCATACAGATACTGCTATTGTTATGTCTTGAGTTCTGTAACTACTGAACACGATGTAAGCACGGGATCTTAGAACTGGGCATGGTCGGAATTGCTGATGAAGGAAAACCTAGAAATTAAAGATCATCCATTATGGGATCATGGTTTCCCACGTGTTTTTCTTCGGAAGTAATTCTCTGTATATGGATCCACAAAGATAAAACGTAATTGAATTTTTCCTATGAAAATATTTAATCTCAGGGGTAGGAAGCCTTCATAACATTCCTTCATGTGAGAATTCAAATATCATTCCTTCAAGTAACTTTGMATATATGATATATGTTTAGCATGATAGTAGTTGTTAGGTGCTGCATTGGAAGATCATATCGGATTATTCATAGTGAATATGATGGTGAAGATGACTAAAACTCCTAGCAAAGCTTATGCATGTTCCATTAAATAAGGAGCTTTGGATTAATTGTCAAAGGAAGTTCAGATAGTTTGAACTATTGATTACTCTATTTCTGCTCGATCTAAGTTTTTAAAACAAGTTTTCACTTGATTTATTTTTAGAACCATGCTATTTTTAGGATCCAAAGTTCCAACCAGAGTTGTCAAGCACATATCAACCTGTGAAGTGCAATATCAATTGTAACTGTGATGACAAGGGAGTCCAGTGTACATATGAGAGACGGTATGCAGAAATGAGCACTAGCAGTGGTATGCTTGCTGAGGACATCATGTCATTTGGAAAGGAAAGTGAACTTGTACCCCAGCGTGCTGTATTTGGTTGTGAAACTATGGAAACTGGTGACCTTTATACCCAACGTGCTGATGGGATTATGGGTTTGGGCCGTGGTTCACTCAGTGTGATGGACCAGCTTGCCAACAAGGGTGTTGTGAGCGATTCATTTTCGTTATGTTACGGTGGGATGGATGTTGGTGGGGGTGCAATGGTTCTTGGTGGGATCTCTTCACCCCCTGGTATGGTATTTACCCACTCGGACCCATCTCGAAGGTATGGTAGTTTTGAATCTGCCTTTCTAGATTTTTCTTCACTGGATTATATTTGTGTGCATCTCATAGATACAGTCTAGCTTTGGGATGGAAACAGCCCATATTATAATATTGAGTTGAAGGAAATACATGTTGCTGGGAAGCCATTGAAGTTGAATCCGAACACTTTTGATGGGAAGTATGGTACTGTCTTGGATAGTGGAACTACATATGCTTATTTTCCTGAAAAAGCCTACTATGCATTTAAAGATGCTGTAAGTTCTTCAACCTCTACATCTAATCGCAGGTTTTCTAATTTTAAATGGTCTTGCCTTCATCAAAAGCATATCGACATTGCTCTACTTATATTATTCCATCTGCTTAAATAATAATCTTGTGCCACACATCTCCTATTTCATTCGTTCTGCATTATAAAATGGAATTTACTAATACTCCAAAGCCATTGAAATTGTATAAATTCTTGTTCAGAAAGCTACTATATAGGATATAGAGATCTTCAATGTGCAATTCAGATTGATCGAGTATTTGAAAAATATCCAGTTCCCATATTTAATTCATGTGTTATTTTCTCATCTTTTACCTTTCTGAATTGCTTTGTATTTTCTGTACCTTTATATTTGATATTCCAAAGAAGACTTCTTGAATCAGTTCTTCATAATTGCATTTAGCTGATACAACTGTTTTTTAACTTTTACTTCTCAGTTGGACTCGAACTGCAAAACACATTCTGGAGACCTCTTCTATTTATTATTACCAAATATAATCCTCCTGCTTAGAGTTTCCCCATACCCGATGGTTGTTGTGTTCTAGTAGTTGGTTTAATAGATTTGACTCTTATCTTATGCTATTGACTTTAAGTTTAGGGACTGTTTCATGCAGGAACACATGTTTGGAGTTGGGTGTTGTTTTTGTTATTTGGAATGTAATGTTATAAATTTTTTGGATGACAAAATGTGATGCTATAAACTATGACCAGGGCTACAGGTCTTTTCTGAAATCCATGCTAAAATCTTCACAATCTATTCAGCAAAAAATAGAACTGCCCTTTTCATCAGTGCTCGTTTTATGAGGGGTTATTGTTAACTTCTTCAGTCATGTGAACAACAAGTTTTGGTTTCTTGACTGATACATTTTCATGCTAAATTCCATCTCCTGTTTTCCTCCACCGCTCTATTCTACAGCTTTTTACTATAAAACGTGGTGATTATAGTTAAATGATGTTTAATTTTCAGATAATGAAGAAAATTAATTTCCTGAAGCAAATTAGTGGTCCTGACCCGAATTTTAAGGATATTTGTTTTTCTGGTGCTGGAAGGTATTTCTTTATTTCTTGCTATAAGCACTTATATCTTATGTTTACGTTTACCCCTCTAGCTGAATGTTTAGCATGGTYTTTTTTGTGCCAGGGATGTCAATGAACTTCCAAAAGTTTTTCCAGAGGTTGATTTTGTTTTTGCGAATGGTCAAAAAATTTCACTGTCTCCGGAGAATTACTTGTTCCGGGTATGCTTTTTTCTTTTTGCAATGTATTATTATCGTGATATGTTATTATTTGTAATTTTTTTAAAATTTTACATTAATGGTATATACTTCCGTCATTTTTCTTCTGATCAATCACTTCTGCAGCATACTAAGGTTAGTGGTGCCTATTGTCTGGGAATCTTTAAAAATGGGAATGATCAGACTACACTTTTGGGAGGTATGGTGAAGTTTCACTGGATTGTGGATAATTTTCTCTTGTGCTGTACACATTTTTTTTTTCTGTAGCACTTGTCGTGATTGGATATATATATATATATATATATATTACAGTTTTATATTGCATGCTTTAAGAAAACTTAGGTGTTTAATAATCACCTTCCTCAGAGTTCATTAAACAAAATAGTAGTTCGTTAGAATAAAGCTGCATGTTTTCTTTTGTTGGCAGGAATTGTTGTTCGTAATACTCTTGTCACTTATGATCGGAAAAACACCTCAATCGGGTTTTGGAAGACTAATTGTTCTGAACTTTGGAAGAATCTGCATTATCTCGCTCCACCTCCAGCACCTTTACCTTCCTATGGTCAGAATACAAGTAAAGAAACTTCCCCACTTGGTTCTCCAACTGGGCTATTTCTTTCTGGTGAGGTTTAACCGTAAATTTGTATGAATTTTTGTGTTGCTTCTTAGTTTTGAATTATTTGTACAGAAGTTAAAAAACTAATTTACCTTCTTTCTTTAGTAAATGAAATTTCTTCTTGTGTAAAGGTTTCAAGATTATATTACCACATGGACTCTTATTTTATGCAGTATTTCCCAACTTTCTCTGCTATATTTCCTTGTGTTTTTATGTATTTCTGTGTACAATGTATAGGTGAATTTCAGGTTGGACTCATAACATTTAATATGATGCTTCATGTCAATGAATCCTCCGTGAAGCTTAACATCACTGAACTTGCTGAATTTATTGCCAATGAGCTTGAAGTTAATATCTCACAGGTACTTTAAAGTTCAAATTTTCACCATTCATTTTCACTCCTGTGATGATCTCCAGTTAGTATGGGATTGTGAGTAGATCGTTTCTATCTGATCTTTAGGTTCACGTGCTGAACTTTACATCAGAGGGAACTGATTTCTTCATTCGATGGGCCATTTTCCCTGCCGATTCTGCTGATTTTATTTCCAACTCCACAGCAATGGTAAAAGTTCTTAGTCTTACAGCGCCTAGGCTATATATATAAGTAAAATAATTGGAGTATCTTCAACCAACTTTTTGTGACTGTAAATGGTGATTCATAGGGCATAATTTCTCGCTTAAAGGAACATCACATGCAGCTTCCTGAAAAGTTCGGAAGTTATCAGCTGGCTGAATTGAATGTTGAACCTCCGTTAAAGCAGTGAGATATCTTCCTGAATGCTTTACTTCTTACTGCATTTAGAGCACATGGGGTTGCACTACCCTACCATATTGCTTGTTTTTGTTTTTGTCGATTCTACCTTAACTGGATCAGAGGCATTTTTAGTTACTAGTTAAAAAGTTTTTCTGATGAAAGAGCAAGGATTTATATGCATGCTACTTACATTTACTGACCAATTTTCGGCAAAGTACCTTCAAAGCTTAGCATTGACTCCTGAATCGCAGTAACTCCTAATATGTGTACCTGTGTTGTGCCTACCTATATAGTGATTTTCCTTTTGCGCAGAAGGTTAGGTAGCTTTAAAATTACTATTGAGCAGTTGTATTGAGATCTTAGTTGTTTGCATGTATATGTTGTGTCTTGTTTACATTCTTATTCGCAACTTGTTTTTGCTACCACTTGGACTAATTTTCCCTCCCATATCGCTGGATCATGTAACTTCTTTTCTCTCCGTGTCTGGATTTATACAGGACGTGGATGAAACAGCACATCTGGTCTATAATGACTATTGGATTAGCAGTTACCTTAGTTGTTGGACTGGCTGGCGCAAGTACATGGTTGATTTGGAGATACAGACGGAGGGAGCTGGGTTCTTATGAGCCTGTTGGCACAATTAGTCCCGAGCAAGAGCTTCAGCCACTTTAGATTTCAATTTTTTTTTTTATGGAATAATGATTCTGTTTATCAGGTGTATAGTTTTGATTAAAGAAAAATACGATTTGGTTAGGGAGAGAAGCTGGAATTTGAACTAGCTTTTAAACTGACTGTATATGGTAGTCACAAATACCATGTAACGTTTAGGACCCATAGGGATGAAATCTTGTACACTTATAAAGAGTTGTAGTAAAACCACAGAAAGGAGGCAAAGAAAACCACACTAAACAAAAACACGTGTTTGAAAAATGAAATTTTTATTTGAATGACTTTCTGTATTTGAGAAATTTATCCGTTGCACTGCAGCCCTTACCTGTACCCAGTGCCTGTTTTAGCAGGTTCTGACAATAAACAAGGTTAAATTATAGGGATCTTTTGTAATGGAATTGATCTGCTGACGTGTCATTTTTAATGGTGCACATTCGCAGTCAAAAGTAAGGATTGCTTACTGTTACAGTTTCCAGGTTACAACATTAAATTCTGTAGTTTTCAGCGATGGGAGGAGGAGAGTACTCAGAAGGCAGAATTTGGATGTGCTGGCTCAGATGGCGGGCCCAATTGTATCCACGGTACGAAATAATAATAATAATGTAGTATTCTCTATTCTATTGGATTGTTGTATTTACATATTTACCCCTACTCTATTAGCCTGTAAATATAGCAGGGTACATCACATGTCACATGAGCCCTCCCCATGGCCTATGCCGCGAATAAGTTGACATTACAGAAGTGGTAAGTCATAACCCAACTTGATTTGAATAAGCTAAATGCATTTTTGTGTGTTTTGCTTTTGCATGGGTAGGGAGAGAGAAGGAAGAATCATAAGAGATGGTATTTTTGGGGGAGGGGAAGTTGTGTTGTCTCGTCTCCCTCTCCCTCTCCCTCTCCCTCTCACCCCCAATGATAAAGGTGGATTTCTGAGAGGCTTCATCGTCTTTTGAGCAGCAGATGACGAAATCTGACGGCCAGGATCACATGGGCAAAGGAAAACAAAGCCAAAACCAGTTGCAGGCAGCAGATGGATTCGTTTGCGATCTCCTTGTGTTTTCTTTAAAGAAGAATACAGGTCAGGGAGATTCCACAGCTGCTGTAAAGTGCTCTACTTTGACGAAACTGCCCCTGCCCAGTTCCCAATTCCCATTTCCCACCACCCTCCTCTTTACCTACTGCCTGCCCGGCGAGACTTGCGCTGATTTTGGACTTTTGTCATCTCTCTCTCTCTAAGTAGGCCTTAGGGGCAGAAGAAGGATTGTGCAATCCAGGGATAAGTCAAGCGTTGGGTGGCAGCCAAACACTACTAGTGTGATTCCAAAAGAAAACTCCAACCAGAATTTGACAATTTTGTTGTGGAAATGGTGTGGTTCGAGTGGGTGAGAATAAAACGGCCAAACTGGACCGCAAGCCCTTGTCTTTTCCGTGATTGGCGATTTTCTTTTCGTAAACTACTGCTTCTCTCTAAGCATCATCGCCAAACACCTACTTTTCAACACAGATTTGGAACGGACGCCCCCCAAAAAAACCTTTTAGATTAAAAAACCCATCCACTCTCATTAATATGTCACAATTTGGTTTTTAGTTTAAAGTTTGGTATGATTAAGTCCGTAGCCTAAAATGTCCAATTAAAGATACAAGTATACACTATGTGTAGAAAAGTAATATTGTCAGTTTTTGTTAGGAATTAAATCATCATTTCAATAAAGGTATATGACCATGTATTTTTTAACTGATTTAAATCTCTTTCACACTAGGGTAAAAATCACTCATTATTAAAATTATTATGTGTTTATGTTCAAAAAGAAAATTATTATACGGTTTCTACTTTCTTTCTTCAATTACCCAAAAAAACTATGTTTAATCAATTGAAAATGTTAATATCGTTAATGGAAAATTGCGTTGCGCAAGCGCATGGCACGCTGATGTCCGAGGATGGACCCAGCATTAATCTGCACACTGCCCTATGATCCTTTTTTTTTWAATTTTTACTTTTTCATTTTTCCTTCCAAAATTTGGTGTTGACCAGAGGCGACTTCCCAGTGGCTTTACCGTTGCTTATAGCGCTCCTCCAACCCTATCTACGGTTTTGGGTTTTTGCTCCTCATTTCATTTCCCAAGATTCCGCAGTTAGATTTCGCCGCCCGGAGATCGGTTTAGGGCGTTTTTCTTCCTGCAAGTTTCCGACGGAGCTAGATCCTCCCCCATTGTTTCAGGCCCAAAGGCTACAGCAGGACAGAAAACAGCCGAACTGGCACACAATTGAAGAGAAAAGAGTATGACCCAGATCGTAATTATATAAAATACCCTGAATCTGATTGCAGTTTTGTTTGTATCGCGGCGATATAACCCCCAATTGTTTATCATTATTAACCTTTGAATCCCTTGTTTCCTTTTACGAAACGGCACTCTCTCTCTCTCTCTCTCTCTGTTTCTCTCTCCCCCAGTGGATTCGTAGCTGTTCCAATAGTGAGCTTTGTACTGCTTTTGTTGAACCGTTATAGTGACTTCCATCATATAGTTCTTCTACTCTCCTTGTTTGTGTTTCGTTCTTGTGTATCGGTAGTTTTGAGGAATAGTTTCGAATGGAGAGGAAACAGGGCTTCTTCTCGGCGCTCAAGGGGGAGATTGTGAGAGGACTTTCACCTGGAAGGTCAAGAGCGAAGAGTCCGGCGAGAAGTGCGTCTCCGATGTCGGGTCTACTCCGGCGGAGAAAGAGCCACCAAATGCCGCCACCGGACTTGCTGATTGAGAGATCCGGGAGCTTGAGGCCGGCGGAGGCATTGTCGCCGTTGAAGGAAGGGCCCGACGGGAACGACGGTCGGGATTCGAAGGAGGGGAAATGGGGAAACTGGATGAGAGGGCAGCTCTGCCGGGCACCTTCCGCCGTTTCGTGCTCTGCACAGAAACGATCTGATCTGAGACTGCTGCTTGGGGTTTTGGGTGCTCCGTTAGCTCCTGTTCATGTTAGCTCCGCCGAGCCTCTGCCTCACCTCGCCATTAAAGACATCCCCATTGTTAGTTCTAATTTTTCACTCTCTGAGCTAATTTATGGCATTGTGAAGTCTGGTCTTTCTTTGCGTTGTGCTGATCTCATAATGTTCCCAATTTTACTCTTTAACTCCGATCTCTGTATTTTCTCATCATTCAAGAAAACCTCGTAGATTACTCTGAGAGAGATCTTTACACGGATGTTTCATATTGTTTATACAAGATGAGATGTATGGCTGTAACTAAATGTAAAGGGATTTCCCTGCAGGAGAATTCATCTGCCCAGTATATATTGCAGCAGTACACAGCAGCCTCGGGAGGGCAGAAGCTTCAAAACTCTGTAAGCAATGCCTATGCCATGGGAAAGGTGAAAATGATAGCCTGTGAGTTTGAAACAGCCAACAAGGTCGTGAGAACCCGAAATTCCTCCAAAGATGCAGAGTCGGGTGGGTTCGTTCTGTGGCAGATGAAGCCAGATATGTGGTATGTTGAGCTAGCTCTAGGGGGTAGCAAGGTTCATGCTGGTTGCAATGGGAAGCTGGTGTGGAGGCACACACCTTGGCTCGGTGCTCACGCTGCCAAAGGGCCTGTTAGACCCCTTCGCCGTGCACTTCAGGTGACACAACTGATCTTTATTTATCTCGTTTTGCATTATCAATTTGCTTTCTCATTGAAGATTTGTTTACCAAGTTCCCTTATTCGCAGGGACTTGATCCAAAAACTACAGCAAGCATGTTTGCTAATGCAAGATGCATTGGAGAGAAGAGTGTTAATGGTGAAGATTGTTTCATCCTCAAGCTCTGTACGGATCCTTCGACATTGAAGGCTAGAAGTGAAGGACCTGCAGAGATAATCAGACACACTATGTTTGGATACTTCAGCCAGAAATCRGGGCTCCTGATACATTTAGAAGATTCACATTTGACCCGCATCCAAAACAATGGAGGTGACGCTGTCTATTGGGAAACCACAATCAATTCGTTTCTCGACGATTACCGACCAGTTGAAGGGATTATGATTGCTCACTCAGGTCGTTCTGTAGTAACCCTTTTCAGATTTGGGGAAACAGCCATGAGCCACACAAAAACCAGGATGGAAGAAGCTTGGACCATTGAGGAAGTAGCATTTAATGTCCCTGGCCTGTCTATGGATTGTTTCATTCCCCCTGCTGAACTTAGATATGCATCCATGAGCGAGGCCTGCGATTTCCCTCGAGGTCATGGCTTTAAGAATGCGATGGCAGCAGCAGCTCATCGGGCGAAAGTCGCAGCACTAGAGAAGAATCACGATAGCAAGGTCAAAGTTATCTGGAAACCAGATATCTGAAGCAGCAGCCAGCCAAACTACTCACACTGCTTTGAAAGGTAAGTGCACTATTAATAACAGTACTAACCATCTAGAAGAGGATCCGAATCCATTGTAGTAGAACTTCTGGTCTATTTTACGCGGCAAATTGTAAATAGATCAATAGTCATTTTCTCACACATTTTGTCCGGTGATCGAGTGGCTYGCTCTCCCGAACCCGGTTTCGTTCAGCCTTATTGTTTTCAAACGCAACAGAAAGATCTTGTTTAAGCATCATTCTTGTTGTTCCTGCAGTGTGATGAGTGTCACTGTTACTGAATGTAATTGGTTTTTTGTGCTCCTAGTTTTTGAAGGAGGAATGTACTGAAAGTACACAGCCTTTACTGAGAAGGAGCATTTGATCTCATTAGCAGCAGCTATGTCTTAAGTTTCAACTTGAAATAGTGGTTCGATCGGGTTGGTTCTTCTCAGAACGGTTTTTTTCCCGTCTTGTTAKCCTGGTTTATTTTTGGCATGAAGGATGGTGATGTTTCAAAAGAAATCTCATCATATGAAACGTCACCATCTGATTTATATATAAGTCGATACAATACCAAGTTCAGAAAAATGAACATAAGAAAAACGTAGAAAAGTTATATTTGAAATTATAGACTTGTAAAACATAATAATTACGAACGAATTATAATTATCAGGGATGATTATATAAAAAGACGTGTACCTAATGATAAACGCATTTCTAATTCTAAGACTGGATCATTTCAACCAAAAAAAAAGAAAAGAAAATTCTATGACTGGATATTGGGTGTACACGATATCTCTTATTTCTTTTCTGTCTTCTTTTTATAAGGAAAAATAATTCATATCTCATCTCTCTTCACTGATTTGAAAACTACACAATTATTAACATTTAGGGTCTACATTTATTAATTTAAACGTTCGAAAAACAATAAGATAAGAAATTAATCTTCCAACAGTTTTGTATTGACCGAGGGAATTTGTGTTTTTAAAGATGTTGATGCTTGTTGTGTCTGTCTGTGTGTGATGTGTGATGTCTTATCTTTTATTGAAGAAAAATGTAGAACAGTAGAAATGTTGTTCTTTAGAAACTCTTTGGAAACTTTGCATTTTGTTGGAAAAATCCAATCAATAAAAAGAGAGAAAATTCAGATTAGTTAGGCTACCAAACCAAACGAATGCTTAAATTATGCACAATCAATAAAATATCTTTTTCAGAATTTTCTACATTTTGAATAAAAAACAAATAAATTGATTATTTTTTTTTTTAAATTAGAAATACTTTTCTATTGTTAAAAAACAATTTCGAAAACGTTGTAAAAAGAAAATCCTGGGCGGGCAGTGTGGCGGTTCGGGTTCAATGATTGTGCTTCCACGTTTCACCGCTCGCGTCACGGTTTGCGTTTCGTTTTGCAATCGAAAAGTCTGATCTGTAAAATCCGTTCGGTTATAAGCTTTTGAACCACTGATCGAATTCCTCAATTCAGTATTGGTTTCTTATCTTCTCCCTCTTCCCAAATTTCTCAACCTACTTCCAATTCCCCGACGGAAGATGAGCTGGTGGTGGGCCGGAGCAATTGGCGCTGCTAAGGTAATACTGATGATCCCAATTTTTTGCATCCGCGGCCGTGTTTTTGTCTCCGAAACGTCTTCCTGTTTCTCTAATCGATTTCTTTAATCCCATTTTTGCAGAAGAAATTCGAAGAAGATGAACCTCCGAGGAGCTTTGAGAGCGTCGCTTTGGTGATCGGTGTTACTGGTATCGTCGGGAATAGCCTCGCCGAGATTCTTCCTCTCGCCGACACGCCCGGCGGCCCCTGGAAGGTCTACGGCGTCGCTCGGAGGCCCAGGCCAAACTGGAACGCCGACCATCCCATCGAGTACATCCAATGCGACATCTCCGATCCGCAAGACGCAGAAGCCAAACTCTCGCAGCTCGCTGATGTGACTCATGTCTTCTATGTCACCTGGACCAATCGATCCACCGAGATCGAGAACTGCGAGGCCAACGGAAAAATGCTCCGCAATGTTTTGCGATCAGTGATTCCGAACGCAACGAATCTCCGCCATATCTCCCTTCAAACCGGTGCGAAGCACTACATTGGATCGTTCGAGAGCATCTCCGGTAAATCGACGCAGCAGCACGATCCCCCTTTCACAGAGGATTTGCCTCGATTGGAATCCCCAAATTTCTATTACGCACTAGAAGATATACTGTTCGAAGAGGTAGAGGAGAGGAAGAATCTGACATGGGCGGTGATCCGACCCAACACTATCTTCGGATTTTCCCCTTTCAGCTTGATGAACATCGTCGGAACCCTATGCGTCTACGCCGCCATATGCAAGCACGAGGGACGCCCGTTGAAATTCCCCGGCAACAGAGCGGATTGGGAGGGTTTCAGGGTGGCGTCCGACGCAGATCTGATAGCGGAGCAGCATATATGGACGGCGGTGGATCCGTACGCGAAGAACGAGGCGTTCAACTGCAACAACGGCGACGTTTTCAAGTGGAAGCATTTCTGGAAGGTGCTGGCAGAGCAGTTTAACATCGAGGATTATGGGTTCGAAGAAGAGGATGAGAGATTGTCGTTGGAGAAGACGATGAAGGAGAAAGGTTCAGTGTGGGAAGAAATTGTTAAGGAGAATCAGCTGCAGCAAACCAAAGTGGAGGAGGTGGGTACTTGGTGGTTTGCAGATTTTACTTTGAGCGGCTCAGGCATGATAGATAGTATGAACAAGAGCAAGGAGCATGGGTTCTTGGGATTCAGGAACTCCAAGAATTCATTCATTTCTTGGATTGACAAGTTTAAAGCTTACAAGATCGTGCCATGAACATGATCGGCGACTATTCTTTCTCAGCGTTCAAAATGTGAAATCTTCTTCTTTGATTTAATCCTTCCATCTGTTTSCTCTTCATTGGTGCTTCCCTGTTACTCCAACCTCTTTCGTTGGTTTCTCCATTGCTTTTGCAATAAGATTGAGCATAGAAAATGTTGGTTTAATTACACTTCTACTACTAGAGTAGCTTTAATTTTGTATTTAGTAGCTTTAATTTTACCTGTTTCAGTATTGAACCCACCTCACTCGTGACTCGAGAGGAGCAACAGAAATTTAACACTAACAATTAACAAACTATTTGTGGTTAACAAGCATTACCAATTACATTTTTTTTTCCATCATGAACACTGATGGAGTGATTTTCTAATAAAATAAAATAAATAAAAGGAATAAACAGAGAAAGCRGTGGTTGGGGTGACATTCACAACTCTAACCCGCAGAAGATTAGATTTTTTTTTTTTGTTTTCTGTATTGCTTCTCAATTATAATATTGTTTTAAAATGTAACTCAAATACATATATTTTTTTTGCTTCTGCTCCAGAAGCATTACTAATCGCTAGCTTAGTGGRAGCACATGCCTCTTAATAGAATATATGACAGTACGCTATATATTGGACAAACGCTAACTTAAACGTCAAAATACTAACACTATTTTACATGTCTATTTTTCGCTCGTTAGCTAATCGATTCCAACTTTTGCAACTTCGATCGTTTTCCAAATCAAACATAAAAGTTCAAAAAAGACTACTCGTACTACATTTTTGAGTCTTCACCATGTTAATACAATTAGATATGATTAGTGATATCTTACACCACTACTTCTCCTATTAGGCTTACATAAGTAGTGAAGGAGCGAGTGGTTTTATTTTATCGTTATTTGGTGACCTACGAGATAAACCTTCCAATGTCCTCTCTTTTGAAACAAAATTCTGGAATTTTGGATCATCGATTTGATTTTCGATTCATAATCATATTTTCTGATAAAATTTCGATTCCCAATCATATTTAAATTTTAAGATAATGATTRTAGTACTTATCAAAATTTAAGATGTAATAGGATGAAATTTAAAGTTTACGGTAATATTAGTTACCAAGTTTAGGGTAATAATTGATGTGTTTTCCAACTTTCTTTTCAACTATTTGTAAGAAACAAGTGGGCCAAAAGCCTTCGTCTAACAAAAGCCCTTCCTGCTGCCGCCGAATTCAGACTAAACTCGACTCCGTTCGCAAACCAACACAAATTGATTCATCTTCAAGTAACTCGATTCTTAATCTCTCTTTCCGCTCGGGGTAATTTTTGTTCTCTCTTATACCTTGGCTATGAATTTTCGCATCCTTTATTCTGTTCATTCTTGATCTCACTCGTTATCTGTTTCTACATTTCTGGCGCCTCAGCTGCGAGCAATGGTACTCACGAACTTCAATGGAGCTGGTGTCGGATTTGGTACCATAGATTCACTAATTTTGATTTCGTTATAGGATATTTTGTATATTCTTATTTGTTCTTGGTCTTTTTAACTGATTCTTGCTGTTATTTTCTTCCTATGGAGGTTTTGGTGTCGGTTGTGGGTTCGGCGTCGGATGGGGCTTCGGAGGTATGTAACATCGGACCACAGTTATTATTGATCGTTTCTCTCTGGCTTAGTTTAATTAATTTTTCCTGTTTTACATTGTGAGCTTGTTCCTGAATTTCCAAGATGATTTCAAACATTTTCTTCATTTGTTTTTCTAATTAGGTTGGATTTAATATATTAGCTGGTGAAGTCAGCCGAAAGAATTTGCGGGAATACTATGAAATCCATACCACGGGATGTATTGCTAGTGTCCTTTTGAAACACCAAGTATTTCGAGTTATGAATTGAAAAGAGATTTTTGTTAGGAACACAAATAGAGCTTGGTTTGTCTTTTGAAAATAACTTATGTTGTTCTTGTTAAGCAATAATTGTGATGTCTCTGTATCTCCATTATTTTGAAATGACTGCAGAACTGAGGTACATCAGTGATCTGTTTAATAGGTTATTTGCTAGGAATAAATAGAGCTTGTTATTTTGGTGAGTCGTGAATAGTGAAGATGGGGAATCCCTTTGTGATTGGTAGAGGCAGAACAATGAAATGTAAGAGGCTGGGAGGTAAAAACTCTACGAGTACGCTTATATGATTGATGAACTGGGTAGTGCTTATCTATCGCCATCGATCCTTTTGGCTATTAGGCTTACATAACCTGCACCTCAAACAAAAACACAGTTTGTCTACGTGTATTCCCAGCATCAGTTCCACTTCCAGTGGTCTGTGGGAAAAAGATTTTGGACCCATTAGCGGGTAGTTCTTGATCGCCCTATGTAGTATAGATTTGCATTCGTGCGTGTATTAGTGTATAAAATCTGCTAGTTACATTACACTAAAGGAAGTAAATAAACATATTGGTTAATAGTCTCGTTCAATTAGAGCTTTCACATCAGCAAATTTAGAGCTTCTTATCTTGACTAGTGAAAGGATTACCTTACTCGGATGGCATAATAATCTAAAGGGCCTGCTGTAAATCTTGATATTTTTAAAGTCATGGATTCAAACTATATCACCCATCTACTTTGGTTGTTTTGCACCTTACGAGTTTTTTAACAATATATGAAGAGTCAGACCGTTGTTCCACAGGTTAATTGAAAGGGTGTAAGCTCCCTTGATGCCTATAGTATAGCTATTTATAAAATAAAAAAAAAAAAATCTTAGCTAGCTAAAATCTGAGTTATGCGCCTCTTTTGTAATGTAACCATATTTTTTTGTGCTTTGGTATATTATTAGAAGTCTTGAACTCTAGGTTGGTATGAATTTAATGATCTCGCCTCGTTCTTTATAGGAAGATTTGGATTTCATTTCTTTCTAGAGGTAACAGTAATTCTATCTAGATGATCACATTTCTGGTTAGTAGTAATGTAAAAATACATAATTGAACCGAGTACTGATTATAACTCACAGATCGAATTGTATATTCCATTATTTCCCTTTAAATTCTCCAGGCACATAGTATTCATTAACATGGGAGATGTAGCTTTTCTGCCATTACATGCCTCACCTGAATAAAGATGTTTATTCTACAGGAATGCCTTTGAACTTCTTGGGCCTTGGTGCGGGTAATCAACTCAAATATTTTCCTTCAACACATCCATTTCATTCCGCTGAATTATTTCTTCTGTAATCCTTTTTTGGTAGGTGGGGGCTGCGGTGTTGGATTGGGACTTGGATGGGGCTTTGGTACAGCTTTCGGGAGCAAGTATCGGTCCTCGAGAATGATATTTCAGGGAATAGAATTTGACAAGAAGGATCAAAATCAAAGTTATGATAACAAGGACTCTAATGATTTATCCAGAAGTTCCAAAGAAGTTTGAGCTAGCTCTCCTCTAAATACATTCGCGAGGTTCAAACTTGTGTAAGAATTTTCTTTTTCAAAATAATTTTGAACTATTTTTAGATGGAAATGAAACATCTGTTTGTATAATTGTGCACCCAATTATATCTGATTGTATAAAATTTATCTTTCCTTTGTCAACCAATTTTTGAAAATATTAGTCAAGTTTATAAAACTTCAGAAGGGCCTCTTAACCGTAAGAAGGTCGCTCACAAGCTACGCACCAATCATCATGCCGATAGCTCTTACAACCAGAATCACCTCGCAAGCATATCATGRTTTCAGAAGCCTGTCATGCGATCCCTGGYAGTCTCTATGTTTGTTCTACTGTTTTCTTACAAATATATATAGAAAATGTTGTGCTTTTTTTCCCCAGATGTGCAGTTGCATTTAGTTGGCGCAGAGCAATGACAAGAAACAATTTGGTTTCGCGGAGCCTCCTTTTCTGTCTTGTCTTCTTCAGTGATGTTCCTGACGCTGCAAATTCAAGAAAATGGAAGCTTGAAAGTGATTTGAGTACTCATGAAATGGGAAATGGCCTTGTAGAAGATACGAAGGTCAAAAGAGAGGTTCGCCTTTTAGAGCTCATGGTTGGTGGTTATGGGGGAATATCAGCTGGTGGTGGTGGCTCTGGCGCTGGGCCTGTGGG